CTGCCGCGCGGGAGCGAGGAAGCCCCGGCCCACGTAGCGTGTTTCCTGCGTGGTGGTGACGGAGGCCTGTATCATAACATCACTGTCTGGGTCCTGTTGGCAACTTGGCCGGCGCTGCCCGCTGCTTCTGGCCCCGCAGAGAACCATGTCGTCCCCCGGCTGCGTTGCTGCTGACCCTCCGGGGCAGCCCACGCTCCCCACACCAGGCCAGCACCTCACATTGTGGCTGGGAGTCAGAGGCGAGTGTGAACTTTGACTCTGTGCTCCCTTCCTGCGCAGGGAGTGTGTCATCATCCAGCCTGGCGGCGTTGCTTCTGGGGATGACTGTAGACTGTAAAACAAGCTGGTATTAGGTTACTCTGAAATTCAGATTTGACGGCAGTTTCTTCCCTAAAATAGGAAGCAAATTCACTTTGTGTGTTTTAAACTTTTCTTTCAGCTCTTAGCTGGAATAGTTGCATCTCCACAATCGTACATAACTGGCTATGAAGTCAGGTCTTTAGGACAGGAATCCTACTTGTTTTGTCACTCATGTGAGAGCAGAACACCTCTTCTGCTTAAGAGGAGGATGAACACTAAAAGCGTCAGGCCTATAGAAAGCAGACACTGGGATGCCTAAGGGTGCTTTTGGGGCCTCCAGAACTTAAAAAAAAACATTTAAGAAAATCAGGTACCCTACTCCCATATTAAAGGCAACAGAAGGGCATTTCCTGCTGTTTAGGTGCTTCTTCTAAATGCCCTACAGCCTTCTCTGCATCCTTAAGCACCTACACGTCTTTTGAAAGAGAAAACCTTTTTTGTTTGGTTGTGTGTGGCTATGTTTAAATCATACAATATTCAGTGTCGATGTGACCACTGTTGCTTACGTGTGTTTAGCCAGTCTCATTCAGGTAACCCCTTCTCACAATCCACATGGGTTTATGGTAACATTGGAATTATAGCTCCCTGGAAGTATTTTACAATAAGAATATGGACATGACTGGGCGGGGCGGGGGCACAAATCGGTAGCCCGGATTTTTTAGAGAATACTAAGATAATATGAAATATGAGTGCTTAATACCCAGTAATGTGAGACCTCAGAATGCTGGTCTAGGTAAAATGTGCAGAGTGCACTGGGCAGTGCAGCATTGTTTCTTGATCATTGTATCAGATTTGCCTGGCAGATGGATTGCTACTCAACTTCTGTATCTCTATCTCCTCTGATCACAATTTTCATCCTTAACAAGGTGAATAGTGTCTACTGTGGGGAAAGGGGAATATTCAGATGATGTAGAATGGCTTCAGGGCCATCCTCATTATTGCCTCCTACATATTCTACACGCTACAAAGTTCCTTCAGTCATTCTTTCAAAGCTTTCCTGTACTGAGCTGAGACTCTGATGTGGACTCTTAAAAGTAGTTATCTGTCCTAAAAGCGTCTAGACCTTAATGCCCCAAAAAGCCATAGGCTGTCTCTGCACTTTGTGAACCACCCATAGGTGTTAGACATTTCAAGAGGAGAAACCTAGCTGAGTTTTGAACTGCCTTTTGTTTGGTTGGAGCAAATTTTGCTTTCTACCAAGACTTGCTTGCCTTGATGGTATTACCGAGCCAGGGCTTTGATTGTTGAGATTTCCATAACAAATAATAACCACTGTTTATCACTGGATTAATTTTAAAATACAACTCAACTTTTTAATTTCTAGGTGGGAATCACTAAATTGAACAGCAATAACCATGGGAGATGCTGCAAAACCTTGCTTTGCCAAACAAAATAAGGAACAGGAAATTTTACATCAAGAAGAATTAAAAGGAAGTCCCTTACAGAAAGACTACCGAGTCATGGATGAATACGGAAATGGCCATAGCAATAAAATAGATACCAGCCTGCAAAAGAAAAAGGGAACACCAGGTCGTTACGGAAACAGTCCCAGGCGAGGGCCACGTAGTGTTTTGAGTAGCCCAAATTCACTTAAAAACACAACTTACAGTCAAGGGTCAAAGTTAAATGATACCCAAAGAGACCAAATGAAGAAGTGGGTATCTGATGACCACCGTGGTACTTCTGACAGCTGGAGAGAGTACAGATCTGTTGCCTGGATTCCTGTGCATAGCAGGACAAGAAAGGACTCTTTTCATGAGGTTGAAGGTGCTGGGAACAGAAACGTAAGACGACAACTTCAGGAAGACTTAATGAGTGAAGACATGCCAGACATGCAGAAAGGAAGCTCTGGTAATCAACATGTTTGCTTGTTTTTCTATAGCTATCCAGTAAAGTAGCTTTCTCTGTGTGTTACTGAAAAGTAAAATTTCAAGATTCACTGTTAAAGCAAAAAATCATCTTTGTTCTGTCATATATTGCAAACTATTGACTGTACTATACTGCAGCACTTTAAACAAATTGTTACAGCAAATGATACAGAACTTGTTTATAAATTGTGTTGTCTTTGTAAGTTAGTTTATAAGTGGTAGGAGAAAGCAGATAGCAACATCTGTGTAGTGTCCCTGTTCGCAGTTTTCCAGGTACAATTTGACTGAATCTGTCAAGGCTGATAAGGGATGTTTCAGTTAAGTTGATACAGGCTAAGATTTTGGAGCTACTGATGAGGTCTGTAACAACATATCTTAATGAAGATTGAAAACAATGCCTCGTAGGTATCGTGAGAACTTAATACTAGTAACAGTAATACAATAACACAAAACTAATTCTCCATGCATATTGAACTTCTCTATGGGCAATTGGTACTAATAATGAGAGTACAAGCCCTAAATATTGAAGTGCAAGAAAGAACAGGCTAAGGGAGGGTAAAGTGGTCGATATCATAAGATCTTCATTGAATGTGAGTACCAGAAGGAAGTCTAAGTAGATCCAAGCAGAAAGAGGGAGCTTTAAAGAGAATATAATTAGATAAAATAAGGAAGACTAAGGCACAGATGAGGTGCTACTAACACGGAACAACTGCCTGTTAGCAAGAAATCTGTCTTGTTTAGCTAAGATCAGGGGCCAAAGACAGTATTGATCTGCCCCCTTGCTGAGAAGGAAAGCTATTGCTGGATAATACCAGGAAGTCCAGGAATTAAATGTCCTTTCCCTTGATATCAGATGTCACTAAAAAGATAAACTGTGAGCAGGTGCCCAGTGTCTCTCATTGTTAGAAATAAGTTGCACACTTAAGCTCAGCCTCAGATGAGGAGAGAGCAGAGAAGAATGCTTTCGCAAGTTTGTTCTCCAATTTGCTGGGTCTAATGAACTTTGTTCTGTGAAACTTCAGGAACTCTCTGAAGTAGATTTTTGGAACCACTGGCAATCATACCTGAGAACTTATTAAGGAGAAGTGAACTACTGGCATATAGGAAAGGGCAAGCGTCTCTTAAAAGTGGAATTAAAAAAATGGTACTCAACTTTAATCCAGGGAATCTGTTCTGGAACAAATAATGTAACCTACTATGAGTATTTGAAAGGTAACAAAGAGATGACTAGCAGTAAACATGGATTTGTCAAGAAAAAAGTATGCCAAGTCCTTCTAATGTATTTCTTTAAAATGGTGATCAGTCCCCTGTGGACGTGGGAGAAGCAGTTGGTAGATACTGCTAGTACTAGTACTGTAGTACTTTAGACACTCTTAGGTGACAGTTCTGTAAGTAAACTAGAGGAAAATTCTCTAGATGAAATTAATACAAGAGACTTGCAGAGCTAATTAGATAACTACACTCAGACAATACTTACCAAAGATTTTGTCATAATGATAGGAAGCATTGAGCAAGTATCTACAAAGATTCTCTTCTGCTCAATGTTTATTACACTATTCTGATGATGAATGAAGACAGTATGCTTATTAAGTGTGTGCTTTTAAATTTGAATATGCTGTGAGCTGGTAAGAACTGAATGTGGAAAAGCAGGAAGGTCAATTAAAATAACTTTGCACAATTGGAGAAATGACCTATATATAGGTTGAAATACAAAATAAATATGTGCAAATGCCATTGTTTAAGTAGGAATGCTGACTGTACAAATAAAGGAGGAAAAGTTATTATAAAGTAGTATTTTTTCAGAGAAGAATCTGAAATCATAGTGAATCAGAAGATGATAATGAGTAGTCAGTGTCATGGTGTTGTGAGGCATGAAAACAGACTTTCAGCCTGAAGTAGTCCTTTTTCTGTAAGTCTTGGTAAACTCAGTTGCAGTACTCTGTCCAGCTTTGGCACCCTACTTGAATGAATGAAATGGAAACAGTCCAAAGAAGAGCAAGAAGAATGCCAGGGCACACAGAAAACAGAAACTACACAAACTAAACAGTCCCAATCTTTCTGCAAAAGGAAAGGGTGGGCAGGCATGATAACAGTCTTCAGCTGTCTAGAAAGGTATTAAAAAGCCCATGTAGTAATCTGACTTGAGTCTTTCCGATAGATGGGACACAAAGCAATGGGCCTAAAATGGAGCAAGAAAGGTTCAGATGAGGAATAAAGGGAAAGTTTCTAATGGTAAAGCTAGAAAAGTACAGGAGAGGTTGTGTGGGCAGCTCATGGAGTACCTGAAGGCCTTTAAGAACAGGTTAGGTGAGCATTGCTCAGGATTGACAAAGTTCATTTCATCCTGCTGCGAAGCACAAGCATGGCATAGCTCACCTCTTGATGTCCCTTCAAAAGCTCTAATTCTGTCAAGTGGCAAACAATTACTAAAAATATTTCTTTTAGCATTGCCTTTTACTTGAAATCTTTTATGCAGTTGTCCCTTTCCTTTACCTTAAGGAAGGAGTTTACTAAATCTCTGAGGCACTGATTTTTCTGCAGGAGCTTTAACTTTGCCTTGCCTTTAGTACTTTATTTAGTCATTAACCTATAGTTAGATTGTCACTATTGTAACTACCAAATATTAGAAGTATTTATTTACTTTGTAATTTTTTTAAGTTATTTAGTGGTTACAGAAGTAATTGGTAAGTAGGTAGTTGTCACACACTTTCCTGCAAAGATGTTCATTTAATACACATTTTTCTCCAAGTTCTGTCCACAGGGATTAGTAAAAATGTAGTCAAACAACTGTGGCAGATCTTAGGAGTCTGAGCAGGAGTCAGCATGGAAAATGGAAGGGATGTGTAAAGTTCAGAGACTCAGACTTCTGTTTCTGCTCCTTGGAGCTTCCTTTGGAGTACTGTCCCTGCAACCTATTAAGCCTTAGTTCTGTGTATTCCAGCATAAACTTGTGCTGCTGCTGAAAGAAATTAATGTTACCATTTTTGTCCTGTTCCTGTTTACAACACTAGCACATGCATGCTGCTTAGTGAACTGAATCAAACAGCTGGTTGAAAATACACAACCAGCTTATTTCCTTTTTGCCAATTATTAGAGACAAAAATTGTGGTCGCATGAAAGAAACTTTGTGAATGTATTTGGTAGAGCAGTTGTGTTTTATCTTTTTTTTTAAAATTATTAAATTAAAACCTTATGCTATGATAAGGGTTTTGGAGCAGCAGTCTGCTGCTTCAAAATCATGACAAAGTTTGCTTACAAGTAGAAGTCGTATTTACATTAATTGTTCCAGAACTTTTGCTGTAAACATAACAAGCTTTTTAAGCATGTTTATTCTGCTAGTTGTATAGATTTATTAAGCAATGTGTGCAAATACTTAGCAAGTTCATTATTTATTGACTTACGTAGCCAATAGGGTTGTTGTTTTTTTTTTTTCACTTGTCTATTTAATAATGTGAAGGCAATACTGATCCATATGCTCATTTAATTGAAAGGGAAGTGACATTAACAGGCAGTTATTACTGGTGATAATAAATTGTTGTATGTCAGCTAAGCCATGGCAGTACTATATCATAGTGCTGTTAGCTCTTACAAATCATTCAAATTGGCTTACACTCAGTAATTCTGTGATAGTCGTAGTGGTCTATGGGTCAGTTCACCTTCTATCTTGTTTGTCTGCCTAAGCCTGACCAGGCATCCTGAAATCTTTGGTTATATTCTACCTTTTCATTGTAATTACATACAGGTATGTCTCAACTAGGCAGTGAAATCTATTGCATTTAGTTTTATTTTTTTGCCAGCTTTAACAAAGCTATCTAAATAAGGTCAGTGACTTCAATGGGACAAATTAGTAGTTTTTAGTACTTTGGAACAAAGGTACTATGGGTTATGACATAAATATACACTCTTGCTATTATCAGACTTGCCCAGAACAGATTATGAAACCATGCAGGGTGGATGATTTGTATGTTCTTTGACTCTTGCATAAGTAGAATGGTAATTAAAGAAAAAACCAAAATGCTGTGTTGTACTCTGAAGTTATTTGACATATTTGCTCTCATAACTCTTTATAAGAAATGAAGAAGCTTAGGAAACCGAGAAGATCAAGAAGAACTAGAAAAGATGAGTATGATCAAGATGAAGTGGATGGCCCAGTCATAGATGAATCTGTGCTGTCAGCAAAAGAACTCCTAGGGTTGCAGCAAGCTGAAGAACGATTGAAGCGAGACTGCATTTATAGACTGAAGAAGGTGCCTCTGTCTTTACTTGTATAGTCCTCTCCTATATTTTTGTCTGTAAATACCATATAGAGGGTACACTTTGAGCAAATTCTCTGACTGTAGCTAGAAAGTCTAGTTATAGAACTGATGTAACATACAAAATGGGTGCTGTTAATGAATTGTCAAGAGAATACAGGTTATTCTTGGGTTTTTTAGTATAGTAAATCTTGGTGTGACAGCAATTTAAGCACAAAAAATGGCTGCTCCATTAGTTCATGAATTAACATCAGATCACTAGGTGCTGGGGCAGTGGACCAGAAAAGTTTTATTGTATGTTTGTTCAGTTAATATATTCTTCCATGGGCATTGGGTATTTTCCACTGTAAAAGCAAGGTGCTGGGCTTGATTGACCCAGTACCACCATTCTTCTGGCATTATATTTGATATGCAAACTTTCTGACTGTAAAGATGAAGTTAGGAAAGCTAAAGTGAGTATTTCTGGACTTAAAAGTTACAGTCATTCAACTTAGCAAGGGTATTGAATGAAATGAAGGTAATATCTTTCTATATTTTAGGGTTTTTTACTATCTTTATTTTAGCAACCTCGAAGCTACCCATCAGCAAAATATACCTGCAAACTGTGTGATGTTTTGATTGAGTCGGTGGCTTTTGCTCATAAGCATATTAAAGAGAAAAGACACAAGAAAAGCCTAAAGGTGAGTTAAGGACAAGACAAAATGTAAAATGCAGATTTATGAAACTCTCCTCACCCTACTAATGACAGTGGAACTGCACTGTTTCTAAAATCATTCCACATTTATTTTTTACTGTGTTTGAATCTTCTTTAAAGCTATTACTTAATGATGCTGGTAAAAAGAGTAAACTTGGGACCTGGACTTTGCTTCTGCCCTCAGCTTTGGAATTTAATTTGTACTTTTTCATGTCTATTATTATTAAAAAAAGTTCTCATTTAAAGTATCACTCAGTAATATTTTGTTACTGGTGATTGAAGTATAATAAAAAAGCTGTACCGACTGACTCTTCTGTTTTGCTGTTCTGTAATTCTTCTTGTAGAATAGTTATGTGTATTCTTCTTAGTGTATATTTCATTGGCATATTTCAACAATGAAGAGTTTTGATCAAGTCCAGAGCAATGAGGAGTAGCAATAGTTGGTATGGCAGAATTAGAAATTACAACCTATATGTCAGGGTGAAGATTTCAATTCAGAAATACTGTAAATGAAATTAAGAACTTGTGGAGTATTACAGACTTGTTTATATGTAAAGGAAATAGGTTTGGTTTGGACATAAACATCAAAATAACTTCCAGCATAACCTCAATTTTACTTTCTATTTTTTTAATTAAATGTCTTCTGCTCCTTCTACTTTCTCAGCTTGAAGTGGACAAAAATATTTGTCTTCTGCAGGTTTTCTATTTCTTCCTCTTTAACTCCTACCCTTTGCCACTTCATAGGTGATGAAAGAATTGGTGACTTTTTTTTTAATGTTCCAAATACATGTGTATATACCTCTGCACATTACTGAAGCCTCCTGGAATATCTAATTCTTTATACCTGTCACAGTTTCTCTCTTGATGTTCTTGCTTCCAATTACCTCCATTATGTGGAAAACCTGTGGTGGTGTTACTTGGGATGAGTTGCAGGCATTCATTCTAGCACATTAAGCAACTCAAGAAAATCATTAAAATGTCAGTCTTATTATCTTTAAAGGAAAAGCAAGAAGAACAGCTACTGACCGCTCTGCCTCCTCCAACGCCTTCCCAGATACAAGCTATTGGTGTTGCTATTGAAAATGTAGTGCAGGAGTTTGGCTTAAATAATGGAGATCTAGAAGAAAGGCTCAACATTAAAACAGTGATGGAAAACTTACTGCATCAAAAATTGCCAGGTATTATTTGCAATTTGTTTTAAATTCTAGAATTGCCAAATTAAAAAAAAAAAAGAAAGAAAATAACAGCTCATAAAATGAAAAATTAATTAAAAACCTTGGCTAGCTAAATTCTAAAACAATATATTTAGTTACTAGTAGGTTGAACGACATGATGTGTCAATATAACCCTGTATCAGAATTAAATTACAATGGTGCTTGTGACACAAGCAGACCTGTAGTAAAAAATGAAGATGAACAGAACGTGGGGGGCATTTGACCTTCATCATAAGACTACTAGCAACAGCATGGAAGGCAGGATTTACTAAGACAGTTCTGTGCTGTTGGAAGACCCTTCTTCATTTCCTGTGGTTATCAAAACTAGATGTAGGTTTAAAATCTACTGACAATGCTGTAAAGTAGCTACAGACTTAGAATTAGGTATAGAGTAAATGCAGTATAATTCTTTTTGTTGCAGAGTGCTCATTAAGATTGTATGGCTCCTCCTGTAGCAGATTTGGTTTCAAAACTTCAGACATAAACATAGATATCCAGTTTCCTGCCAATGTAAGTAAGACCATTTTATTAAGTGTGTCTAAGTGGTTTTGAATGTTTGCACCTTTATGTAAATTATGGTTTAAATGTAACTTACAGTGTGGTAGTAGCACTTTTTATGAAAATGCATTGGGTAAAACAGAACTACCACATTAAAATGGTCTTAAAATGACATTCCTTGCTTCATACACCAGTAATGGTCAGGCAGTGTAATACAGCTTTGTGGTTTATCAAATCTTTCTTCTGAAAAACTGAAAATACTTAAAACATCTGTACTCCTAGCAGTCCTATAAGACAGGTCATTATTTATCTTCTCTTACAGCTGGATTAAATGGCGCTTCCATGATCTTGTTTCTGTACTGATATATGCACATCAGAGTTTTTGATTGTTAGGTTATTTTTGAGCCATGAAACCATATTACGTCATTTATATGTGAAGCAATTTAAAGCCTTGATTTGTCGTGCTAGTTGTTTCTATACATCTTTGTGATTGAACATTGAAAAGAAATTAAGGACTGTGAAAAGCTTTTGATTCCATACTTAAACTTATTCCTGCTGTAGTTGATTTGGCAGTCTCATAGTTAAAATTTAGCATTTCCTCTAGGAAACAAAGATGGAAATGTAGTGAAAAAGAATGATCCAAGTTCATAACATGCATATAATTTTAAAAAGCTATGATTCCAATCTTTGATTTGAGATGGATCCACTATGTCAGAAGGCAATCATATTTAAGCACACTGAAATAGTATTTCTGTTTGTATTTTTTTTTTCCACAACCAAGTCTTTGATAGAGGTAAAAATAGCTTTACTTACAATTACTCCAGGATTTTTTTTTTTCCTTCAAAATAAGTAGAGTTCCTGTTCCTTTTGATACACTTTAGCGATAACCAAGGAGTAAGAGCAGTTTTTTCTCAGTTGCTGTTATTTTGTTTCCTTCTTGCTGCCCTCTCTGGAATAAAAACAGAAGCAGCCTAGGGGTGATGTTTTAAAATTTGAGTTGTGGGAAATCACCTTTTTGACAGCTATGAAAACAGCTTTATTACTTTTATTGTCAGATGACTCAACCGGATGTTCTCTTACTTGTGCAAGAAAGTCTCCAGAACAGTGGTAAGAAAAAATTGCTGCCTTCTCAATTCCATTAAACTGTTACTGCTTACTATTGTTGAATTCCACCTCTGTTGAACAGGTAAACCGCATGCTATTCTTTTTTTAGAAAGATGTGAGACTGAAAAATACTGCAGGAAATAATACACTGGCAGAACTGACTTTTATTTGGTATTCAGTTTTATGACTATTGAAGTCCCATTATTTGTGTTGATATGAGAAATTCCTAGTGGGAGGTTTTCTTCTACATTATAAGTGAAGATGTCATTAAACTTAAGGTAGACTGTGCTGCCTTTCTTTCCCCAGACTGCTCTATTAGCCATGTATAGTACAGAAAGTAGCCTAAGCTCTTCGAACACGTGATCAGAAACTTGATAACATACTTTCAGATTGTGGTCTCTTTTCCTGTAATTATGTGCATATGCCTGTTAGTGCAGTGAGGCCATGTACAAATGACTGCATACAGACACATGTTTTCTTTCAGGTAATGAATACAACTCTATGCACTAATACAGGCAAGTAAAGTTTAAGATCTTAAAAAAAAAAAAATGCACTTACTCAAACCAATTCAAGCATATGCAGACAAAAAATGAAAAGATGGGAAAGAAACTGTGCTTTTAAATGCAGATTGCAAAAAGAAGCATTACTACTTTCTTGCCTTGCTTTACACCCACAGCTGGGAAATCAGACCGTATGGTTCAAAAAATGTATATTAAACATGCATATATTTACTGACCTAGATTTTTCGCATTGCCACCCCCACCCCCCACTGTATGTGCATCATCTTGTCTGGTCAAATGACCGTTACAGTCTTTGAGAATGGGGTTATTGTTCAACCAGACTGGAGGAATGATGACCCAGATGCCCTAAAAAGTTAGAATCTCTAACGTGTTTTGAAAGCAAGGAATATTTCCATTAGCATCTTGTGCAAAGCCTTTTTCTGTGAGTCAGAAGATACAGGGACAGAGCGTTAGGCATTTGAGGTACCCTAGTGGCAAAAGCAAGATGTTTTCCAAAGAAATCAGGTGTCCAAATGGCTAGGTAACATCAAGAAGACCTTGTCATTTCAGAATTTGAGTTGGGTATCTAAAATTGTTTCATAGTTTCCTCTCTACCTGGCCCAGTGAAACAGTGAGGCATCAAAAAATAAGCCCAGTTTGGATCAATAAACTCCACTTGGAGAAAGGACTGCAGTGGCATCTGTACTTTTTTAGTGTTAAGATAAAGATGTAGCTGAACTGTATTTGGAAACCTATATAAAGAATAAGAGGAAAAAATAAAAAATTAAGCATAGCAAGAAGACATTACATCATGTCAGTAAGCCTGTTCTATACTTACATAGAGCATTTCTAGATTACCAGGGAAAATAAACTTGGAGATTTTCTTTCTGTCTAGTACTGACATAATGCTCTGGTTTTTTTCATCTTTCACACTAACATTGTTTTACAGATGTCATTGGTCTGTCTGCATGCCTGGATTACTGAAGCCAGCACTTAAAACAAAATTTGCCTGCTTAATTATACCTACTGTGTATATGAATTTTGAAAAGTTCCTTTTTTCTTGAGTATTTTCTTAACATTGCTTATCATAGAATATAAACCATGCTCTTCCCATCACATATGAAAAACTTGCTTTAGAAGAGTGCCAGGATTAATCTATCAGATGTACTGAGTTATTTGTCTCAAAATTAGTCGTTTTATTAAGAAGTTGAGGTTCTAGCTGTACTCCTCTAGTAGCATCCAGTTCAACATATTTTTTGTCAACACCATGCTTAACGTGGCTGCTTCTTTTTCTTTCTCCCCCCTAGAATCCTTTACGGAAGTTGATGCAGATTTCCATGCTAGAATACCAGTGGTGGTGTGCAGAGAAAAGCAAAGGTCTCGGTTGTCACTTTGTGTGTTCTAATAGTATATAGCAATGTAAATTATATGTACCAGCATCTGAAAAATGACGTTTCTGTACTAAATTATTACAGTTCCATGGATCTTGAAACACAAACTAACACTCATGGGCAAGTCATTCCTAGCCTAGAATAAGAGGGTAAGGGTTGTTCTGTCCTCAGCTGTGTATTTCCTAATCCCTTCAACCATTATGGCTTCCAGCATGTACCCTTACCCTTCCATTTGGGATAACTGCTTAAGCAGATTATAGGTAATGTAGATACCATATTAAATTATGGATTTCTGTAAGGGCAAGATCAGCTTGGTTAGCTTCACTAGTATTTTGAGAACAAGTGAAAGACATTTTATTTTGCCCATTTAATGGATATCTCTTAAGATTCATGAAACATTCTATAAACAGCTACTGATACAGAAATATTAGTAGTTATTTGCTGCTGCCTTGATCTTTCACTGTTTGAAAATGTTTCTTGTGCTGTTTCCACAGCACAGAAACTGTTTTCTGATGGGTGTGGTATGGAAAGATGTTTTTGATTCATGAAGGAAATTAGTACTGTAATTTTTTTTTTTTAGTTCAGTGAATTAATATCATTAGAAACAAATACTTAAATTTGAATTGTATTTGAAAACACTTTTACAGAAAATTATAATGCATAGATTTTCAACCTAACCATAAATCAAATTGGTTTTCCATGCTGCTTTTTATGTAGATGCAGTGTCTTTGAGAGGCTGTGAAGTCTTTCCTTACAGCCTTCTGCTACACTGTTTTGTGAGATGTCATCTGACCTATGTCTGTTCTTATAAAAGCTCCAAGATCTTTTACTTTGTTTCTTTTTGGGTTTTAGTGGCCTTATTTGTAAAGTGAGTGCAGGGAATGAGAATGCTTGTCTGACAACAAACCACTTGGCTACACTTGGAAAACTGGAACCTACTGTAGTACCTTTAGTGATTGCCTTCAGGTACTGGGCAAAGGTAAGAATCATTTGTATTCCCCCATCTGTGAATAAATATTGAATGAACATTGATATTATGCTGGTAAGACTGTAGGTATGGTTTAGAAAACAGTTGTTGAAACTGTCTTTAGAAAAAGAGTTGGGAAAAGGATATTTAAATTTTTTATAAATTGTAAATTTTATAAATGATGTAACTATCATTTCTGTGTTATAATGTTCCACTAAATTTCAAAAGTGGAATTTTAAGCTTCAGCAAGTGGCATGCAGACTGTAAGTATCCTGCTCTGTTACCAGACAAGTCAGAGGAACGTATATGAAATGGAATTATCAGTTTCCCATAAACTTACTCCATCTGGAAAAACATGAAAGAAAAAGCTGCTTGTTTCCATACATAGATGAAAACTTTCTTGTGAATTAAAATAACTTGTTCCAAAACTTTGTGTGCCTGCAATTAAAATATGATTTAAGAAAAACACTGAAAAACTTTTGGCTTGTACTATATCTACATAAAATGAGTCATCATTTTTGCAAATGTGCTGTATGCTGTCTGTTTTGCCAGTCTGCATCCTATGGCTCTTACACTGAAAATATTATGGTAATAACATGACTCCAGTAAATATGCAGGCCTTGAGAACAAAGTCCATCTCACAAGAGGTCAAAGATGTCCGAGTTTCTGTCAGTGTTTAATGTGGCAGACTTCTGACCAGTAATTAAAAAAATATTTTTCACGGTATCACTTGAAACTTAATGACTGCACAATTTATTTTTACAGTTGTGCTGCGTTGATCATCCTGAAGAGGGAGGCTTGTCACCTTATGTGTTTGCTTTAATGGTTATTTTCTTTCTACAACAGAGGAAAGAGCCTTTTCTACCTGTCTATTTGGGATCATGGGTATGTGTATTAATACACTGAATAGTATGAATGAGAGGACCAATCACTTGTGGTGGTGTGTAACCTGTCAGCTTCTTGCTATTCTGAGCAAGCCATAAGTCAGCCATTTCTGCAGGAATTCAGAAGGAATGTGAATTCAGCCAGACTATGCCTAACCTTTGTACACTTGGCTGTAAGGATGCAATTCACAATCCCAGTCATTGAATTAAATGCTCTGTTGCCCCTTTTGTGAGTAAGGAGAGCTGGGCATTGAATAATGCACTTCATAACAACCTACTTCCTCATTTCTTCAGCCTTTCTTCCAGACTCTTGAGAACTCTGAATTCACATAGCTACCTCCCAAAACAGTGTCTTGGATTTTGACATCTAAGTCTTCAAAATGTAGACCACAGCTGGGGAGCACACTGGTGTGATATCTGCCCAAGGGATCAGACTGGGTTTAGAGCATGTATTTCTTGGGTTTCAAAGCTGAAATGCATCTTAATATCAGGAGTTGTCAGGACACAAAGTCAGAATCCAGTTCTTCAGGACACCATTCAGGTGTTATATTCCTGGCACCCATTTTTGTTCTTATAGACCTGTTACATTTAGTGTGCATGTTCCAGTTTCCATGACCAATTGTAATTAGGCCTTGCAGTTAACAATTTCCTTCAGGACATGACTGACTCATTCCCAAAGCCTCTCCACTCTGCACTGAATGAGAGAAAAGTCCTATGGTATATAGCCATATAATTAAAAAATACATATTTATGCTTGTGTAATGTGCAAAGAAAAGGTTTGTATAGATACCCTTCCAAAAGCACTGAACTCTCGAGAGCTTTTTGTAGAGAAGTATAGGGAGAAGAGAGAAGCAGATTGGGGCATATTCTAGGCCTGGAACAGCTATTTTTAAACTTCGTTCTGTTTTAATTTGGCTTACTACCATGGTGGGGGCGGGAAGATTTAAAGTTCACACGATGTTTAGCTGTATGTTTCTTTTTCTATTTCCTTTAGATTGGAGGATTCTCATTAAACAAATTAACTAATTTTCATCTGAAAGAAGTCGAGAATGATGCTGTGGTTTGGGAGCATAACCCCACTGATGATTCTGATTTGCCACAAGAAGCTTCCACTAGAAGTGGCAAGGTCTGAACCATGTAATATACTTCTGTAGTAGTCTAGCAGTCATTGCTGTTCTCGAAAAAAGAACCATCTTCTATTTTTGTTTTGTGTTTATGTTGCAAAACCACGAATGGACCTAAGAGATTGCATGACTGCTTGATACCATGCTTACTATGCTTACCTCTTGGTGCTAAGAAGCTAGCAAGAAACTAGGTGTTATTTCAAACTCTTTGATAAGACCCTGGGTTTTAATCTGTCAGGGGAGAATATAGTTTATAGAGTTGAAGCAATTTTATGTCAGAATTAGGTTAAGTGTATGAAAAATATTTCCTCTTAGCTTTGAACTATTCTTACAAATTATTTATTTTAACAACTTTGCAAGAAACAGTATCACTGTAAGATTGCATGTTACGACAGTTAACAATACAGCTTAGGCTTTGCTAAAAAATAGGCTGTATAATCCATTCTGTCCAGTTAGATTAGATGTGATATTTTCTTGGAAACTTATAAATTACGGCATAAACACTTATATAAGCAATTGTTATTAATCATTGATGCTGCTATTTACCATTGCTGCAGTCTTTCATTTTGAAGTTTTATAATCTGAGTTTACACTATCTCTTCCAATTTTTTAACTGCAGTTTTTATTGCAATTGCAGGAGTATAGAAGCCACTATAAATTTTGTAATAATACATTACAGATGAAATACAAGGAAGTGTAACAGCTAAACACCTGTGCATTAAATATTATTTAAGCTTTTCTTCTGTAATTGACAGGTTCCCTTAGTATTTGGTTCAGGACAGCAGTGTTCAGCACCTGCTGGTCAGCTCTGGGTAGAACTGCTTCGTTTCTATGCCTTGGAGTTCAATATGGCTGATTTGGTTATTAGCATACGACTCAAAGAAAGAGTGTCTCGTGAATCAAAGGACTGGCCTAAAAAGCGCATTGCTGTGGAAGGTATATATATCAACAAACTTCAAAGAACTGTTACTTTAATTTTCTAGGGTACTGTCTTGGCTATTGGCATTGTGCATAATAACTTAGAATTTTTCAGTATTGGACTGTGATTCCCAATAATATAGTAGAATATGTTTTGAAAAAAATCAATTTAAGTAGTATTTCTCTTGGCTATTTTTTTTCAACATTATCAAAAGTAATTAAGTGGACTTAAAAATTGTCTTCAGCACAATTCATAGATCTTAGGTCCCTACACAATGTTTTAGAGTAACTAACAGTAGCATATTCAAATTTTGTAAGCGTGTAAGTGTATTCTTTTTTAAAAAAGTTAACTCCTGCACTGCTGGCTCACTTCTTCTTTCTACTAGACCCATATTCAGTCAAAAGGAATGTGGCAAGAACACTGAACAGCCAGCTAGTGTATGAGTATATTCTTCACTGCTTGAGAGCAACTTACAAGTATTTTGCCTTGCCTCACAAAAAAAGTGCAAAATTGAGCAAAAAATCCTTTCCAAAGGAGGATTTCTCCAATGAGGAGAAATCCCAAACGCTGGACCATGGAAAAGATGCTATAAAGCATGAAAATTCTGAGTTGCAAAACTTGGATGGTAAAACAAACACAGCCGTAGTGGAAGATTGCATAACAGAGACTATGGATACACCCCAGGCACATAGAATTGATCCTTCAAAACTGTGTGATGGCTCAGAAAGCTTCACAGAAGAAGAACTGGCTGATGATATAAGTCATTTGGGAATTGCCCATGAAGATTCAGACTGTATAATTGAGGAAGTTATTTCTGGAGATAATGAGGATTTTAAACCAAGTTGTGAAGAGACAGAGAGTGGAAATGAAGAGGAAGAAGAGGAGGAAGAGGAAGAACATGAACAACAGCAAAGAAGATGGAATAATATCTTGACTACTGAGCAGGGAATAGATGAAGACAGTGATAGTGGAGATCTCCATGTTACAGTGAATGAGCATGATATAGAGACATGTAGTACTTCAGATTTAGAAGGTTTTCAAAACGCTGCACTTACAGAGAGTGATGAGTTTGGCTTAGAGTGCAGTGGTATAATGGATGACAAGATTGACATTGATGAGGAGAGCACTGAAGGTACTGATGAACTGGATGAATCCCCCCAAAAATTCATATGTTCAGCACAGAGTCAAATATCCCAAATTATTAACTCGGATGATGAGGAGGAAGAGGAGGAAGAACCAAGTCTTCTAAACCAGAGAGAGTGTGGTGGTGTTATGAGAGCTGGAGATGAACTAGATAACACATACACTGGATCTGGAGATGACGATGCACTGTCAGAGGAAGAAGATGATTTTTCCATCCCCCATAAATATGAGGACAAACATTTCGAAGAAAATATGGATGGACCTCTGGGGATCAATTTGAGTCAAGAGGATCTTACTGAGAAGGGAAACCTTTTTGAAGAGAACACAACAATAGAACAATGTTTAGAATCTGAACTCTTTTATGAATTCAGTAAACCAGCTTTTACAAAGGGCAAGGTAAGCAAGCTGTATCAGAACATAAACATATTGCTTATGTTCTATTACCAGTTATATGAAAGTGTTGCTCAAATTCATTAAAGCATTATAGTTTTTAAAACCAATCTTGCTTTCTGTTCATGCAGTCTCCTACAGTAGTATGTAGCTTGTGCAAACGGGAAGGTCACTTAAAGAGGGATTGTCCAGAAGACTTCAAGAAAATTGAGCTTGACCCACTGCCAGCACTGACACCCAAATTTTCAGTTATTCTAGATCAAGTTTGTGTCCAATGTTACCGTAAGTCTTTTCCTTTGAATATTGTTGTGCAGTAGAAAAAGAATTGCAAAAAATAATGAAATAACCACGGGCTAATGGTGTTATAAAGGGGGGCGGTTTATTTGCTACACTGCATCCAATTCTCTTAGATACAATTCTAAGATTTGTAAGGGCTTTAATAGGACTACTAAGTAGTTTGTATCTAGAGAAATGCAAAATGTTTAGGTTTATCTTCCATATACTGGCTGTCTCATTACTCATTTAGGCCTCTTAATATAATTTCTAAGAGTTTAATTTTGGGTGGGTTTTTTGACTGATGTTTTTACATTTCTGTCTCCTTTGAATTTTGTTAATGTTCCTTAACTTGTGCTTTTTAGTAAACAAAGACTTCAGCGTTCTGGAAAAATGGAGTCAAAATACTGTTTTGTAACACTTCTCCACTTTTGTTCTTTTCAGAGTGACCCAACTTTCCTTCTTTCTCTCTCGCCATTTCTGACCAGACAAAATGCATTATTTGTCTAATTAATGTTTTTCTTTGAACAGGTATTTCTCTTCTACTTCATCCTTGCTTTCTTTCCTTCACATGTGAATCTTCTCTTGCTTTTTCTCTGCCCTCCAACCCCGCTGTAAACCCCTCACTTTTTTCATTTGAATCTTTGCTGTTGACTCTTTCTAATGATCAGTTTGCCTGAATTGTTGTCCTTTTTTTTTTTTTTTAAAAAAAGATGATTTTGCTCCAAATATTGTAGAGGATCAGGCTCGGGAACATATAAGACAAAACTTGGAAAACTTCATTAGACAGGATTTCCCAGGTAATTACACAGTTCTAGCTTTATATTTATATTTTGATGTGTTCGTATTTGAGTGTTTTCCAAGAAAATATATCATATCAGCATAATAAACACTTTAGTTTTGAACATTTAACCTATATTGTTGCTCAGCATTGCTATGCTTAATTACATTAATTTCTGTTTTAAGTCTCTTAAGGCTTTCGTTTAAGTCTTTTTTGACTTAGTCATATACACAACACATTAGTAGGAAGGAACAATGGCAAGTTAAGGAGTAAACAATCAAACCAGTAGTGGAACAGTCTTATAATTGTTATTTCAGCTTTATTCATTAGCCAGACTTCTTGTTGTTGTTCCTGCTCTTACAAACAACAAGCTTCCTGTAGTCCTTTCCTACTGAAACTGGTTTTGGAATATTTTAAAATACAGGCACAACATCTGACCTATCCGGAGAACTTAGCTATTTGAATTTTTTGTTTGTTTGTTTCTAGAGCTCTTACGTGTAACACCTGGACTTCAGTCCATAGTCTTCTAAAATTAGCAAAAGATTTTTTGGCTGGAGCCTGGTGTGTGGACAGATAAGTCCCTTATCCTGAAAATCTCTGTAGAGAGTAGTCTTACATATTTTATCAGATTTCAGCTTGGACCTGCATGCTGGTGATTTAATTATTGGAAAACCTAACTTGTTTCTGGATCTGTCAGGCTGCTCATTTGAACCAGGAAAAGTAGAGATTCTTTCCTCATCAGCAAAGTTGATTAGAAAATAAGTTTTGATGTAGCATAGAAAGATAGTAATATTTCCATGCCTGTATTAAAAGACATGCAATGGTTTGAAGCTATATACAATTTGAGATTCTGTGTCGATATGTCGTTATAACCTATCGCATCTCTTACAGGAACCAAGCTGAATTTGTTTGGCTCCTCAAAAAATGGATTTGGGTTCAAACAAAGTGACCTTGATATCTGTATGACTATGGACGGGCTGGAAACTGCTGAGGTAGTTTGAAAAGATTTTTTTTAATAAATGCAAAATTTTATGGTTATATTGTGTATGTAGTGTAAGAAATTTATTATTTTATAGAAGCTTTTCAGATTAGAAGAAAACACAAATTGGTGCCACAAAGGCAGATTATTTTAGGAGGTTTTGCTGTTGGTCTAGGCATGAGTTTAAGAACTACTCTCAGTAGTCAGTTTTTTTCTGAATTCTGCACAACCATTACTTCTAGCATTAGCTGTGCAGATAAATAACATGCTTTGTAGCATAAACAACTAGAATGGGAAACAGTGGAACAGGACATCAATCTCCTTTCATGCCTAATATAAACTTTTTGTAAGTCTATGTTAAGATACTATCCAGTGTTGATTTTACAATTGATATTTTGAATCAAAATTTCTGGTATTCACATAATTCTCTATAATATGAAACTCTCAATTATACAGCTTTAAGCTTAATGGCAAGTAATAAAAGGTTTGCCTAAAATACTTGTAGCAGATACAACTTTCAACTTTTTTTCTTAATGTCTTAGGGACTTGATTGCATCAGAATCATTGAAGATTTAGCAAAAGTTCTCAAGAAACAGTCAGGTAACTTTCTTGAAATTTAAAATAAGTGGTTCTGTTTATGTGACTTCAGTTGCTGTAGTGAGAATGTTCTGGGGCACTGTAGATGAAAATCATTAAGATAAAACTATATTGAAGAGCTTAATGTTAGTAAGAGTGAGGTTATGTTGTGAACATTTGGATTTATTTTTGTTTGCGCATGTAGGTCTATGAGGTTATAATGTTATAGGACCAAATCTGAATTGGACAGATAGTATATTTATAACCTACATGCATAAGAACAAACCTTAAGTTAAAGCTTGAGGCTTCAAGTTAGTTATGTTGTATTTGTATGTTCAGTGCCAAATAAGTTATCAGCAAAAGGCAGGCTGATACAAGTTTGCAATGGGAATTATTTTTTTTCTACAAGAAACTTTCATTTTATAGTGCTTGTTTTGGTGTATCTCACATGAATTTAATATAGTTGGAGTGAACTATCAATGATCTCTTAAGCTTATTTTTCTGTAACATTTAGACTGATCGTTGTTTTATTGGGGGGCTGAACGTATATTTCTATATATTGTATTTAGCAGATTCATCATGTTCGACAAACGCCTAAAATCATTATTAAAATATAACTGAAATACAAATTTGCTGTCAACTAAGATTTTATTTTGTAGCCTTTTTACTACAGTTTGGAGTTACTTTGTAGAGCATTTGATACTGTTACGCCTGTATTGCAGTCATTCAGTAATTAAACATTTCATCCTAGGTTTAAGAAATGTCTTGCCTATAACAACTGCTAAAGTCCCGATTGTCAAATTTTTCCACGTCAGAAGTGGTCTTGAAGTAGACATCAGTTTATATAATACTCTGTTAATGTTATCTCCCTCTTTATTTTTTTTTAACAGAAAAATGTGGGTCTGCTTCTTGAGATTGAAGTGATTGTTTTGTTGAGATTCAATAATCAACTGTTTCCAATTACCTATTGCAGTTTTAGATTTCCGAACAACCTTTTCTTTTTTATTTGACTATGAGTGGAGTCAGTTGCACAATGGCGACTTCAGAGTTCTCACTTCTGTAAGAAAATATATTAGTTCTTCAGTAATAGTAAGAAACAGTGGTTTAGGTGTTTAAGTCTTTATGTAAATGAGAAAGACAAAATAATTTAACTTCAGCTTTCCCGTACCTCACTTCCTGTCATGGCTCTTGTTTATTCTTGAGACCTGGAATAGTGATTTTGAACCCAGCTTGCCTGAACTGGAACATGTGTTAAAATTTACAAAAAATCACAAGTTCTTGCCCAAATATTTTAAAAACAAGTTTTGGGTTTTTTTCAATGTCTCTCAACTTCAAAAGCCAGTTCCTTGAAACATCAAAGGAAAGTAAGTTCTAGAGCCAAGTATTAAACTTTCTGAAGTTTTTGTATGAGCTCAAGGGGAGTCTTGAGGAAGATACCTCAACCACTAAGTCAGTCTGAAAGTTTTCTTCTTGAATTTATGCATCCATGTGGGTCAGCTGATAGCTCTCACATTTCTGGGCTCAAATCTCTTAGTTCAAGGACTTACCTTCTACTAAATATTTTGAAAATACGGTACTAGATTAATGCTTCCCTTTCTGAAGTACTGTTCTGTGAATGCTGCCTTGTACCACTTCTGCGCAAATTAAGGATGTTGATCAGCTTTTTAACAGAGCAGGTGATAACCTTATTGTTGAATGCTTCCTTTCTCAACATACATTCTACTACGCAGGGCTTCACATCTGCATTTCTTGAGCACACAACTTAGAGTTTTTGTTTTTCGTGTTTTCAGCTTATTCCTTCATTTCTTCAGAGCGCCTGTATTTTCTATATGACTTTCTTATTTTGGTAGGCCTTGCATAACACAAGACTCCTGTCATCATATGCAGCCATTGATCCTAGAGTAAAATATCTGTGTTACACAATGAAAGTCTTTACAAAGGTAAGTATATTTCAGGCATTCTAGAAGCTGTAGTGCCTGCCGCAAGAGGTGATAACCATAAAAGATACAAATTGTGTTTCTTTTTCTAGATATGTGACATTGGAGATGCATCTCGAGGTAGCCTTTCTTCTTATGCATATACTCTTATGGTGCTTTATTTTCTTCAACAGAGAAAACCACCTGTCATCCCTGTTCTTCAAGAGGTACAGTATATCAAGAAAGAAATAAGTATCTGTATACAGTATTGACCAGAAGAATGTCAGTGCTGAATCTGAAGGGCTCTTCTAATGAGTTTAATATTATGCTTTCAGATCTACAAAGAACCAAAAAAGCCTGAAATTTTAGTTGATGGCTGGAACGTTTATTTCTTTGATAAGATAGAGGAGTTGGTGAGTAAATCAGTTTAATTTGAAATGGTGTTACCTGTAGTTTTGCAAATGAATTCCTTTTAAGAAACATCGTCCTCAAATATGGTCGTTGAAAATAGAAATGAAAGTGAGATAGCTATTGCTTTGAAACTCCCAATCCCGTGCTGTAAAGTTTTCAGAATATTGTTGGTTGTAATTCATCTGTGAAAAAAAAATCTGCAAAATCTGAAAAAAAAAAAATTAAAAAATTATTTTAAGGTGTTAATGATGATTACTTGCTCTGTGTGTCACATTACTAGGTGGAGATAACTCCTACAAATACCAGCTGCATATCTAGTCATAGCTGGTTAATCCTGTTGAATAATTTTGTATTAAATAGGCACATAAAGTGAACTAATAGGCACATAAAGTGAATTAATAAATTCTTTTTTATAGCAGGCAAAACCTAATGTTAGAAGTTTTAAGTCTCCACTTTTGTTGCTAATACTTTTTAAAATATTTTAAAATCAATATTGGATTATTTAACCAATTATGAAAGGAGGGGAAGTATTCTGGTGTAACTCAATCGTGTTTCTTTATAAAATAAGACTTATATTGTTTGAGTTTCCAAGTTATGAAAATTATTCTGCTTAATGTAAGTACTGGAAGTAAAAATATTTCTGTCATTTTCAGTCAGTTGTTTGGCCAGACTGTGGCAAAAACACTGAATCTGTTGGGCAACTGTGGCTGGGACTTCTCCGTTTCTACACAGAAGAATTTGATTTTAAAGAGCATGTCATCTGCATCAGGAGAAAAAATCTGCTTACAACTTTCAAGAAGCAGTGGACCTCCAAATACATCGTAATTGAAGGTAAAAGCGTGGGAAGTACATGAATATGTGGAATTTCTTTAACACCCACATGAAAAAATCGGTCTTTCCACAAGGCTTATTTTTCTATTACTAGATTATAAGTTGTTATTTGCTCATGTTTTGAAATCATTGCAAAATTTCCATTGAGTTTCAGTAGTGCTAAAAATTATTCTTAGGGTTTTTTTTTTCCTCTACCAAAAAGAAGCTGCAAAGCAGACTTCATACTTCTCATGATGACAGTAACTGACAGAAAAATAGATTTAACCAAATCCTTTGGAAAAGAAATTAGCAATAATGCAATTGAGGTTTTCTCACAAATACTAAGTTTAGCTGAGTCCATATTTACATGACCAGTTTAACCCTGTATATGATTACACTGTTAAGTAATACCATGGTCTCTATCAAGAAAATGCAGTGACGTGTTTTAGAAATGTTCCCTAAACCACTTTCTGGCCCATATGACTTTCATGAAAAGAATTTCTACTCTCTCGACGGCACATTCAACTTACTCTTTTATGATACATCAGTCAGTTCAGAGCTGAATGGCTGCGATCCTTTGTCCATGGAGCTAATTTCTTTTCAATAAATTTGCAAACGGTTCAATTTCAGTATATTAATTCTGCATCAGGAATAGCTGCCTTGGGTTGTTCGTGTGTATGTATACATTGCTGATCTTGTCCTGGACTTGAGTAATGCCTGTAATGCTTTTTGTACAGATCCCTTTGATTTGAACCACAATCTTGGAGCTGGATTGTCAAGAAAAAGTAAGTGTCCTGTTAACAAATTTGGGTACAAAGTGAAGATCTTGTCTTAGATCTTATTTTACTGGCTTGTTTGATGTTTGGATGATGTGTTTTCTTTTTTTTTTTTTTTTCTTCCCCAGTGACAAATTTTATAATGAAGGCTTTTATCAATGGCAGAAGGGTGTTTGGTACCCCTATAAAAATATTTCCTAAAGAATATCCGTCAAAAATGGTAAGTTGCTTCTAAGAGCAGTATGTGCATGCTCTTGGGTGTATAACTTACCACTTGCAGGAGTACGGTTACACTCTCTTTAAGCCCTTCTCTCTTAAATTTCAAAAATACTCTAAAAATCTTTATGGGAGTTATTACTGAGTACTGTTCTCGTGTTGTTTGCATGAAAAATGTGTTGGCATGCAGAATACTAATCAAGTCAGAGCTTCATTGTACAGGCTTACATATTTTAGTCCCTATCAAAACCAGCTTACCATTTATTAAAACTGCAGTTTTAAAAAAGAGCTTGCAGACCTGGTGGTCAGCAGACTGCCTGTAAAGAAGAGGCCAGTGGCCAGTTAATCTCATCAGGTCTTTCAGGAGTTCAGCTACACACACAAGCTTTATTCTTTTCTGTGACTCTTAACTGCTGTTTAACACTTGCTTATCTGTCTTGATTCCCAAGTGTATGGATTTTCATTTTAAATGCATGATTTCTTCTTCAGGAATACTTTTTTGACCCAGAGGTACTAACGGAAGGAGAATTGGCACCAAATGATAGATGCTGCAGAATTTGTGGTAAAATTGGCCATTTCATGAAAGATTGTCCCCTGAGAAGAAAGTGAGTATAGCTTTTGGCATCTGTGTGGAATATTTCCTTAGGTTTGTTTAGAAGAAAGATTAGGATAGTAATGCTAAAGCAAAACTTGTACAAGCTGCAGATTATTTCCTTCACTGTTGAAATGAAAATGTATCTATACAAGTTTTGGCAGTGGTGGATGGTGTTGGTTTTTTAAATTTTTGGTCTGTGTTGAGTCACTACTTAACTTTTGCCAGCACTATCTTAGTGTTTTTTAACAGAATCTTTTCATAGAAAGCTGCAAAACTACTTAGCTTCAGGTAGTAAAGCTGACTCTGCACTTCGTTATATAGGAAAGCAATAGTCCAAGAGAATATAAATGCAGAGCTGAATAGCTGTGTGCTGTGAAAAGCACTCACGAAAGCATTTTATATATTTTCATTTAATAGCTTCTACTTCTAGAATCCTGCTGCTCCCGGCAAGACACATTTTTGTCAGGTTCACAGAATCATGCAATTCATGTCAAAAAGCAAGACAGGAATGTCACAGCATTATTGTTCTTAAGCACACACATATGAGAACAATGTCCTGTTTTACATCCAAGAGGTTTCCTGATCCTGAGTAACCAAATGTCCAAAATTCAGCAACTATCTTCTTGTAACAAATGAATGCTAAAATGATCTTCCTGCTCTTCATATTATGATCTTAAGCACACACATATGAGAACAATGTCCTGTTTTACATCCAAGAGGTTTCCTGATCCTGAGTAACCAAATGTCCAAAATTCAGCAACTATCTTCTTGTAACAAAAGAATGCTAAACTGATCTTCCTGCTCTTCATATTATAAACTGTATAAACTCAAAACTGATCCATTGATTCTTTTTTTTTTTTTCCCCCTAGTTAAGACAAAGCTCTTTAAAGACTTCATGTCTATAAAGTAGTGAAAATTGGCAAATAAAACTTCAAGGGGACAAAATCTTAAAAGCCTTTGTGGTCACTTGTAAGGTGAATGGAAAAATCTAACCTTTGTTTAGAGCCTGTCCATGTTAAAAGCTGTAATTAAAAATCACCTGCGCTTTTACGTAAGTAGCTAAAAAGCTGCTTACGTTGGATCAGATGAAGTAGCCTTTCTGCTACACAGTAGAGAATTGTGAACTTACATTGTTGAGACTGTTAATTTTGGAATTTATTCAACTTCAGCAAATGAAAGTACAGTAGCTGATGATAGTTCAAAAATAAAGCAAGCTGAAGATGGTGTGAAAATCTACTCAATGTCTAAACTGCTGTCTCGGATGCAATGGATTTCTGCATTCTGGAGTGAAACCCCTGTTCATTGCACATACACAGCTATGTTCTATACAGCATTAGAGCAAAAGTCAATGAGATTTTGCATCTAAGAACATAAATGCCTGATGGGATAAGACAACTGATACATCTGAGTCCTCTGTCCAGCCATTGCAATAGGAGATGCTGTCTATGGAGAGCACACTAGTTGGCTGTTTTCTGTAATCTCTTCTCATGCATTCCCCCAGCACCTGCAGTTGCTGTGTAAGAGATGTTAGAGCACATACCTGCCCTGGTTTGGTAGTACTCATTTGTGGACTGGAGTTGTTTATGATTTTGTCCTTTTTGTTTGGTTGTTTTTTTCTGAACCTGATTCTCCTGTTTTCCTTAACAATATTATACGGCAACCAGTTCCATAAGTATGCTAACTGATGTGTAAAGTAGTACTTTCTTTCATCTGTTTAAAGCAAATCTCATTTTAATTTCGTAAGTATTCTATAGGTGTAGTCTTGTGGGATATAGTTAGTAATGATACTGCCTTGATGATTTTGTAAGCCATGATTGTGTTCACTGTCTAGCTTCTCTCCAGGTTGGAGAGTCTTGGCCTTTTAGTATCTCTTTCTTAAACACTTGCTTTCTTCATCATTTTAGCTGCCTTTCTCTGTACCTTCTCTAACTCTACTACTTCCTTCTTAAAATACTGAGACCAGACCAACATGCAGTACTCGGATGTAGGCACACCATGGTTTTATGTAGCAACAAAATGATGTCTTTTGTCCTGTTCTTAGTGTTTTATCCATCCTATCACTACACTCCCTGATAAAGAGTCCCTCCCCATCTTCCCTGTAGGCCCCCTTTAAGTACTGGAAAGCTGCTATAAGGTCTCCCCAGAGCCTTCTCTTCTCTAGGCTGAACAACCCCAACTCTCTCAGCCTGTTCCAGGGTGTTCCATCCCCCTGATCGTCTTCGTGGTCCTCCTCTGGACCCGATCCAACAGGTCCCTGTCTCTCCTGTGCTGAGGAATCCAGAGCTGGACGCAGTACTCCAGGTGGGGTCTCACCAGCGCAGAGTACAGGGGCAGAATCACCTCCCTCGACCTGCTGGCCACACTTCTTTTGATGCAGCCCAGGATTGGCTTTCTGGGCTGTGAGCGCACGCTGCCAGCTCATATTCAGTTTTTCATCCACCAATACCCCTAAGTCCTTCTCCACAGGGCTTTTCTCAATCCACTCATCACCCAGCCTGTATCCATGTTTGAGATTGCCCCGACCCAGTTGCAGGACCTTGCACTTGGCCTTGTTGAACTTCATGAGGTTCATGAAGTTCACACCGGCCCACCTCTCTAACCTCTCAAGGTCCCTCTGGATGGCATCCCTTGCCTCCAGAGCATGAACTACACCACTGCAAACATGCTGAAAGTGCACTCAATCCCACTGTCCATGTCCCCAACAAAGATGTTAAATAATAATGATCCAAATATGGACCCCTCAGGGACGCCACTTGTCACTGGTCTCCACACAGATATCGAGCTGCTGACCACAACTCTTTTGAGTGTGACCATCCAGCCAATTCCTTATCCCATGAGTGGTCCACGTGTCAAATCCATGTCTCTCCATTTTAGAGACGAGGATGTTGTGTGGGATGGTATCAAATGCTTTGCACAAGTCCAGGTAGATGACGTCAGTTGCTCTTCCTTTATCCACCAATGCTGTAACCCTGTTGTAGAAGGCCACCAAATTTGTCAGGCACGATTTGCTCTTAGTGAAGCCATGTTGCCTGTCACCAATCACCTCTCTGTCTTCCATGTGTCTTAGCGCAGTTTTTAGGAGGATCTGTTCCATGATCTTGCTGGGCAGAGGTGAGACTGGCTGGCCTGTAGTTCCCCAGGTCTTCCTTTTTTCCCTTTGTTTTTTTTTAAAAAGGAAAGCTCACCTTGAAGCTCATCTGCCATTCTTTTGCCCATTCATTCAGTTTTGTGAGGTATCTTCAAGTTGCTTGCCATTAGCACTGCATCTAACTGACCAAAGGAGCCTAGTATCATCTTCAGACTTGGAAGTTTCACTGATATCTCCTTCTCTAGGTCATGTATAAAGAAGTTAGATAAAACCAGTCCAGCAGTGATAGCTGTTTCCCCACTGCTAGATCTTGAAGTCACTTAGAATGTTAGAAGCTTCTCCCAGTAGAAGAGACTTCTAGAGATACTGTGAATTTATAGTTTCAGGAGGAAGGAAGTGAGATTTCTGATCAAATTGTACAAGGAAAAAAAATAGAACTATAGGCCTATTTTTTTATACTTTGTTAGCATTTTGCTCGGTGTTTCTTTTCTTCCACTGTCTTTGCAACTCCAGCACCCAGATTTTGTGTTGTGTTTATATTTTTTTGAGATGTAATTATTAGACTTTAGGACTGTATTGTAATCTAATTGTAAAGGTAAATTATTAAATATATGTTACATCAGTGTAACACTGTTTGGTAGGCGAGTCAAAGCAACAGGTACATTAATTCACTTTATTTAACTTACTGAAGAAACACATGAAATACATCTATTGTCTGTAGACGGCACTTGGTTTTGTTTTGTTTTTTTACTCTGTGTATGTATGTATGTAAGGCCTATGAACCCTGCAGCATTTTTCTGCTTCTGCAGACTAAGACGGCGTCGTGATTATGAAGATATCAAAAACCAGAGGTACACAGAAAACAAGGACAAAAGAAGCAAAGAGGACAAAGAAACTCAGAATAAAACAACAGAAAAAGAAAGCTTAATCAAGGAGGGGAAGTTGCATCTATGTACACCTCAAAAGAGGAAACTAGCAAGGGTAATAGTGGAAACTGGAAGAGAAAAGACTCCCAGGCAATCAGCAGAGAAGTGGAAGCGCCTGGAAGACAGAGACTTAAGAGAAAAACGTTGTTTTATCTGTGGAAGAGAAGGTCATATTAAAAAGGAATGCCCACAGTATAAAGGAGCTGCAGGTATGAAACTGATCAAGCTGAGTGGTTTAAACAGAGCGTATGTTTTCTGGTATTTTTAACAGAGTTGACTAATGGGTAAGGTTTTTCCTTTGAATGGCACCATGTAAATGCTATCTTTTTTTTTTTTTTTAAATGTAGTCACAGTTAGTCAGTTTTCCCTTCATCCTCACCTACCTTTCAGAACTTCACTGTATCCCAAGAGATTTGACATGTTTCTCTTGGCAGGTAAGATGCTTGTAATAGAAAGGGTATGAGTGTCTAATACGTTGAAATTGCTTCCATTGTCCTCACTATGGAAGAGTTTGCTAACATTTCAAATTACAGCTTCTCTTTCAGTACATCATAATTGCAACAAAAGCTAGCCTTACAGCTCTTCACATCACCTAAACCAGAATTATTCCATAAAGACCCTAAAGTCACTATGAAAGTTGTACAAATGGCTCAGATAGAATATTGTGAATGAAATAAAATAAAGAATGCTCCTGCCAACTCAGCAGTCCGAGGGATACTGCAATCTGTCTTATTTTTCAAGGAGTCAGTCTGCAACTTTGGCCTAAAAAAACCCGAACAAAAACATACAAAAATGCCCCCAAATCCAGATCCTGACTGACAGACCTGAACGAAATAATGAAATACTTGCTTAGCAGTATCTAAGTCATCCTTCAGATAAGATGGATCTCTCATCGTCTGTGTTGTAAAGGAAAATAATTCTAAGATAAAACTGAGACTCCTTAAGACAGTGAATGGTACTTTTAGTTAGCTTCCACAGGAACACAGTATTATTGTTTCCCTGTAGGTAAACCTAGGAGCATTTAAATTCATGCTGGAAAAATTTGCTCTACAGATTACTCATGACTTGACCTCTTAAAGTAACAAATAGGAATCCTGTGTATAAACATAATTTCAAACTAGCTCTTCTCTACTAGCAAAAATGTTCTGTCTGCCTTAGATCAGGAGACTCTTCTTAATCAGATGTAATTGGTGGAAGAGGGCATAAGACTGTGCTAGCAAAGTACTGGAAGTGGGAGGAAAATGGTGCAAATATATTCAGAACTTACAAGGTATTTAGAAGTGTTCTTAGTTCAACAGACCACTAGAAGTGTTGGGTGGACAGAAAAGATGTTTAGAAATTGAAGCCACATTTTATTCAGCTTCTGACTTTTTGAAGGTGTATGTCAAGTCTAAATTCAACTTGTGCGTTTCTTTATCTGTGACCTTGTCTCATTGAGCATTTCTTTCTACCATTCCATTTGCCATGATACGGAGTTTGCCCAGGCGAAGGGGACTATGCCTGACTGTTTTGTAGTCAGTGACATTGGTGTATTTTATAACATTCATCATATGAGAACCATGCTGAGGCTGTACAGTACATATGCCTAAAATCATGAATTCTGGAGGAGTTTTTGTCTGTTATCTGTGTTTGGGAATTACTGTATTTGAATTTGAAGAGAATTGCTGTAGGTTGGGCTTTGTCTTTTTTTGCTTGCTTAGTGCCTGAAGTGTTCTCTCTACTTGAATAGAGGACTATGAACAACTGGACCTAAGAGATCAGACTTCACTCTTTGCCTGTGCTACAAACATTTTGTGAGACTATGGACAATTCACTTATCACCATATCTTCATTCATTCTCTGAAGTTCCCTGTCTCCCTCTGATTCTGGAGGAGGATACAGAGCTTAATTTATTGTACATTCCTAACTTAGATGCTTAACTATAGATGCATCTTATCTCATTGTGCCAGCTTTCCGTGTCATAAAACTGCAGAAAATAACAATGTCCTACCTTCTACGTACTATGAAGGTAGATTGCAAATATTTTGGTAGTTTTATATCTTATGATACCTGAAATGGAAACTAGTTTCAAGTTAGCAAATCTTTGTTATATTATGATCTCTTCAGGTGGTTCAAAACCAGAAGTGTTGTGTGGATCCCCTTCTTTACCCAGCGCTGCCAAACATGCTGGTAGATTAAATCAGGTAAACACGAAGTGTCCCTTTTCTTAGACCTTTTTAAATATTCTAAAGTCCATATAAAGTAACTAAAAATATGCTTTACTTATGCTTTCAAGGCGAACCTTTTTTTTATTGTGGAATGCCATAATTCAATTTTGTTGGTTCATCAATGTGTATATGTTGTTCACAGGGAGTGCTTGTACATGAAGAAAAAAAGAAACAAAAAGGAAAAGTATTTTTGAGTCCCCAGTCAGGTTTGTGTATCTTCATTTCAATTCTGCATAAAAGCATGTATTTTTTAACTTGCTTTCCCCATCGGTCCTTATGGGAACTCTGCCTGATTTGCTGAACACAGCAGCAGTCTGTACAGGTTGCTAGATAATTCTGAAGTGAAGCCACATTATTCTACTGGAAAAGTGTGCATTTCTTTCAGTTTTGTTTTGGAAGCAAAACTTAGGCATGTCAGTTCTGTGCATTTTTTCTTTAACTCTGGTAGATTTATTTTGCAGAAGGATATGGTGGGTTTTTATCAATCTCTGTCCTCTCTCCTGTTTCAGCACACATGGGTTTCTGTGTTTCTTCAGTGATGACATGTGGAGCTCTTTCTTGTGAGGCTTCCTCAGAGTAATTGTCTAGAATTCCACATGATCAACTTAGGAGAGACTATGAAAGCACACCCTTGGTCTGCCAAAATGCAAGGAAGTTAAAATTACACTTACAAGTAGCAGTCAGATGATAATATAAAGGCCTTTACGTACTCTCTGCATCAGAGATGTTTTGTGTTAGATAGATGGTTACACATGCAGCTGCCTTAACGGTAATGTCACACACTTATTAACAGATACAATGAAGATTTTAAAAGCAACTGCTTTTTTTAATCACTTTGAGTTTCTAGTGAAACTCTGCAAACCTTTTAGCAGCTTGGGTTTTTTCAATAAAATATATAAATGTCTTCTGGGGCACCTGAAGGGGGATCTAAGTAGTCTTTACAAACTTTGGAAAACTAAACTGCGATTAAGTATCTCAAATGAAATTATCAGTTTTGTTGGGAAGACACAGTATTTTCTGTTTTCACTGCAAAGTGTTTCAAATCTAAGTTTGGGGATTTTAAACACAAAGTGATTTGTCATTAGGTGTTTAATTGGAGAAAAAAAAAATGCTAGTTTTAAATTTTTTATTTTAGTATTTCCTACTCTTCTCCAGCAGGTAATAATCTGAAGTTGATCTGTGTGTGCTTTCATTATAGTTTGACTTAACAGTAATTTTATCCTGTCTGATTGTTTAAGTTGTTTTTTGTCTTTTTTTCTTTTTTTTTTTTTAACCCTTAAAGTGTGATGCTTTCTTCCTCCCAATCTTAGGCAGCCTTTCCAATAAATACATGACTCAGGGAAAAGCCTCACAGAAGAGGACCCAACAAGAATCATGAGGGATATTAAGCACTGTCAAATTGCAATACAGGCTCTTCATTCATTTAAAAAATTTTCTTCTGCTAAAGCATCTGGATTCACAGGACAGCAGCACAGACAACCTTCGACTTAAGTTTAATGAAATATGGGTGTTTTACTTTAGATTGCTAGTGCAAACAACTGTGGATTTTAACACGGACCCCTGCTCTTAAATAGATTGTTTGAGCATTTTAATAGAAAGCCATGATGTTTTGTATTTGTTTACTAGGTAAATCATATAGAAAAGGGCAGGTATTAAAAATGGAATGTTTTCAAGGTTTTGTTGTTCCACCTGACCATTTTAAAATGCACTAAAATTGTGTGCAAGCCAAATACATTATATTTTCTTCAAAAATTGATTTTTTGAAGGAGCAAATGATATTTATTAATGTTGATTGTTTACTGAATCCTTGTGTAAAAGTGTTTGAAATGTTTGTAGACTGCTACATTATTTTTTTTTCCTGTAGAGAACTGAAAATGTAGACATTAGTAAACATATGTAAAACAATCTCTGGACAAGCAGTGCCATTGAGATTTCTTGGGGTTTTTTTCTGTCCTGTGATTTTTATGGGAGTTCATTTGCTGCTGTGCTTGTGTACAAGATGAAAGAAAGACTAAGACACAGGTCAGTCCTGTTTGATGCTGCTAAGAATCTCTTTCAAGGCCTTGGGGATACAAAAAAAAATGCTTTAAGTAATAGAGGTATTATATTTGGCAACTGGGGAAAACACATGTCCATTTTCATAAAATGTGAAGAGGATCCTTGTACCAGCCAAGAATTTAATTAGTAGTATGAACATGAGCTTTACTTGAAGTCCTTCCAGAGCTGCAAATGTACTGTCTTATCTTTTTCAGGAAAGAATTAGTTACATGGTAAAATTGAAACCCATGTTATTTATGACTTTGAAATAAATTTAAAAAAAAAAAAAACAATAAAAAAATCAGACTTAAGTTTTTGTATTTCTTCTTAGGTTGTAGTTTTCAGTATTCCTGACTAAAGTGAAGTATTAACGATAACTTATTGGAATTATCTGGTTTTAGAAATGTCATGTTTAATTTTTTCCCTTACCCGTTTATTTTGTGATACTTTGTAGTTTAGCGGTGAAGTTTTCAACTGTGAGTTTTCTAAACTCACATCTGAATGAAAACTCATTCTGCAGATCCACCAGTCTTCTCACTTTGAAGGTGCTGCTTCCTTATGCAACTGCAAATTCTATATAGTTACTAATCTCATAGCCCTAAAATAAAACCCCCAAACTTGGGTTATATATGACAAGCATTAAACCAGTAACTAATAAATCCTTTGTTTCCTTAAAGAGTAGCTAAAGAGCACAGTCATAATTTACAGAATGATATGTGACACAGAATAAACACAGTTGAGGAGGCATACATATCTGCTGGCTTAATTTGTTGTAAAATTTAGTAAACGGATTGAAAATTAAAATTGAAGAAAATTAAGTTCTTCATAACAATTCTTGATCTCCAAGATTCTGCTTGCCTTACGGGAGTATATTCTCAAGGGAAGCAACTTTCCACATACAAAGAAAAACTCTGAAAGGACACACTGCATTGATAAAAAGTTTCTAGAAAAAATGGTATCAAAACTAATAGTAATAAAATAATAGTTTACAACTAAATTCATACTAATAAAATGTAATAATACATACTAATAAACTACAAGTTTAAAAGACCTCTTCTGAACCACCTGTATACTCAGTCCCTGTAATGATACAGAGGGACACTGAGTTGGTAGCACTGTTTTTGTGCTGCTTTTTTAATTAAAAAAAAGTGCTATTGTCATATTTCACATGCTTTTGATGTCCCTGTTTCCAAAGTTGGAAATGTCTTGTGCTATGAGGAGTTAGTTATCAGTGCTGAAAAAAGGAGGAGGACAAAATTCTGTTTCAGGTATGCGGCACAGTTAACTGTCTGTCTTAAACAGGCAATTTAATCTCAGTTAGCCATGTAACTTCTAGATCAACACACATCCATCTCCCCTAATCCAGTTGTTCTGGTGAGATTTGTTTCATAGCTATATTTAAAACCGGTTTCTCATCCATTAAAAATTTTATTTTAAATGTATTTAATACACAGTGATTTCTTTTATAAACCTTATCACATTTTTTTTTATAAGAACTGCAGAAGCTGCATCAAAAATTATCTTCGCTAGTAACTTTTTAGGGCCTGAAATAGCTACTTAGAATGGGAGCTTGCTAGCAAAGAAAATATTTTTTCTCTATTAATAAAATTATCAAGAATATTTCTTGTTATTCACTTGAACTATTTAGATTTTAGTAATGACTTTTGCTTTTATCTTTTGGTAATTGTACCGAAGATGGAGAACACCTCAGAAAAAGGCTGTTGCTTCTAGCCCATGCTCAGTCTTTCACGCTGAGATTCATTCAGCAGACAGGTGACTAAATTAGAGTGATGACTGGAAGCATCCTAAGGAAGTACAAGAAGGTAACGCTCTTTATACCTGCATGGTAGACTGAATGACGAAGAAGGTATTAGTTGCATTCATTCACAAGCTTCCCCCCTCCAAGCATACATATTACTGACTTCAGCTTCACGCTGATAGTGGATTTAAGCCCCCCTACCCCTAAGTGGGTGTGTTTTAGTTGAGGATGTGTGCCCAAGTTCTGCCAATTGTGCGTGAAAGACACATTTGGTGTAGCTAAAGAAAATACAACTTTTCTTATAAGCTTGCTATCTTTATATTTGAGGTAGAAGTACTGTGCCTCATTAAAGAGTAGTAAAATAATTATCTATGTAAAAAAAGAAAAACATCTGCACATTCACTATCAAGCTCTTTAATTAAAAACTGCTAAGCCCAGAATCGGGTACCCAAAGTAGATATGGTGATGAGATGTGGACACGTTGCTTGCGCTTGGACTTTGTAAATACAGGTTTAAAGTATTAATTAGCATTAATTAGCATATTTAAGGATGCTGTCAGGGGAAATGAAAAATGGGTACTTGTTTTCCTTCTGGCATAGCCATCATTCCATTTAAAGTAATGGGATCACACGTTGCTTGCTTGGACTTTGTAAATACAGGTTTAAAGTATTAATTAGCATATTTAAGGATGCTGTCAGGGGAAATGAAAAATGGGTACTTGTTTTCCTTCTGGCATAGCCATCATTCCATTTAAAGTAATGGGATCAGTCCTCCTGGGCCAAGGCTGTTGGGTTTCTCACAAGCACCCAGCAGAGGCCCCAGCATACCTCCCCGGGGCTGCCACAGGCAGTTTGGGAATGGCAGTGCAGTTCTCCCTGCAGCTTCCAATGTGTACCTTCCCGTGGCAACCGTGCGCCAGGCAGGCGTCGAGAAGAGCAGCTGGGCTCCGACCACCACCTAGCCCTCACCCAGCCCCTGTAGGGCTCAAACCCGGAGGGAAGGGGAGGAAGCTGGCGGGTAAGAAGGCGTACACCGTGCGTTACCCGTGACAGACTGTACTGGCCGCCATCTCCGGGTTCTGCACGCCTCGCTGAGGGATTTGTCCGAACTGGATCACTCTGCACGTGGGTTTTGCCTGCGGTGCCATCGCTTCCTGTTGGACGGCCTTATGCAAAGTCGTTTTAAAAAGCTTGTCTGTGTGACCATCAATACACGTTCACGTTCTTTGCCCGTATTTCTCGTAGACGGGGACTATGTACCACGGGCCTCCCTGTTACCAGAGACAGCTGCTTCCCTGCCGCCTCCCCGCGCAGCCGGCGGGGCCTGAAGGGAAGGGCCTCCTGCTGCGGCTGCCCTGGCCACGTCTGCCGCTTATCTCCGCGAACAGCCCTCCTGCGTGCGACGCCCTGCCCGCCCGGGGCCGGGAGCGCGGCGCAGGCC